TTCTGCGATTGCACTTGGTCGCAGTTTGGTGTTGTGTCGTAGCCTGTCAATCATGCTCCATACTAACCACAGAATACTCAGCTTGAGGATTCAAAAAGTTAAAGTGAGTAAATTTTAACATGTAATTTCAGTCTACACGTTCATAACTTGCTGGATTTGTGGAGGAATGGGGTCTTTCTTCCTCTGACTTGCTTGGAATAATACATTAACCACTTCCCCAAATACACGCAGACCCTGACGCTCCAAAATAGAAAATAAGCTTCACCATAATCATCTTGCAAATGGAGTTCCACTCTATACCTAGAGCCAATATGGAATCAAACTGAAAATGTCATCATTTTCATGTCTATTCCTTCTAGTCAACTAACGACATGGTTCCTATAACATTGAAACAACAAAATTGCAGTTTGCAGGAAAACATAATCAGGTTAGAAGCTTACTTGGCTTTTGCAATCGCACATGGTGTCTTGCGGTGTCTATAAAAGACTCCACCATGTACTCTTCCACTTTGTGAAGGCATACAACTCATCCCATGTACCACCAGTTAGATAGTTCTCAGTCACTTGCCCTTCAACAGAAAACATCTTCTCCTAAAATTGACAGCAAATAAAATATAATAGTATTAGAAGTGCTAAAATGTTGTTTGATTATAAAGAAAAAATCCTAACAATCTGCTCTTCTATAATTTTGAATTCATGGAGTTGAACAATAGAACATCATATGCTATATAATAACAATGTCATTATGCAATAAACAAAGCATATTAGAGAAGCTGAATATAAAAACCTCATTCATAAAATAAGAGAACTTTTAAATTGAATGTTGATGCATGTATCAATAACAGGGGAGAAACAGGGCTTGGCTTTGTTATCAGAGACTTGAATGCGAACATGGTTGCTGCTGGAGAAATTGTGAAAAGGAACAGAGGAGCAGTGAGATTGCTGACGGAAGAGACATTCTTTTTCGCTTAAGCAAAGCAAAGGATCAGCATGTTGGGCTCCTCATTATTGAATCAACGACATTGTTGCAATCCTTGCACACCCAAGGGAAACAACACCAAAAAATTGGGCAGATTTGATTACGAGAACTAATGCGATGGTCGGAGGAATGAAGCACAAATGATACCGACTGAAGCACACATTATTCCAACTGATTACCCATTGGAAAATAAAGAAGAGAGGGGACATCGCACATACAGGCTTCGAAAAGGCAAAATAGAAAGCGGCGTAACTGAGGAAACAGATTATTCTGGCGGCGATGTTGTTTGGGAAGTCGTAGTAGCAGCAGAGGGGAGCGTCTGTCGACCTTCCGATGCGAAACTGACGAAGAGAGAGACATGGAGTCTTCTGCGAGAGGAGTCGATTTATTTTTCGTGGGGCTTCCGAGACAGACACAGATGGAAAGAAAGGCAACAAATGCCGGGATTGGAGAACTATAGAGATGGCGACGATGGGAGATTTCAGGAGAATTTTGAGTACCACGGAAGGACGGTCTACTGGGAGAGAGACGGCGAGAGACAATCGGCGAGATTTCTTGCCTGGAAGACTAAAAGTAAGGAATCAGATTGTAGTTCGGTTGGGAGAGAGACGGGAACCGAGAAGAGGTGAGATTTCCGGGCTGAAAAACTAAAACGAGAAAGAGAAGAAAATGGAATGACAGGGAAGCCCCTCCGAAGTGTGCGGTAAATCGAGGAAGGGCTGATGTGGCGAATGCCCTATTTTGACATTCCCTTATAGTAATTTGTAGATTTGTCCAAATAACATAGTGTAGCGTGATTGGTCTACTGGAAGACTGTCGGCCCAGTAACTTCGTGGCCCAACTCATTTATACATTCTGCTTGAAGTCTTCCTAATTAATGTAAATTTTGTACACATTATTTTGAACGAATTGTATTATGACATTAGTCATTTGACTTGATCAATTATAGGAGAGTACGGTAAAAAAAAAAATCAAATTATAGGAGAGATGCGCTCCCTTCTTTCCTTAAGGAAAGTTAACTAACACAATAATATTAGAGAGTTATCTGAATTTAAACATACGACAACCTATCATTAGTGATTTTTTTTTTACAGGAACCTAAATTAATATTAATAGAAGAAAGGTTACACAGGGCCCAAATAAGCGCGGCCCAAATCCTTCTCAAAAAGGCAAAACAGAGCTAAAGGTGGGTTATCAACCCAAACAAATTGGCGACCCCAAACTCCCAGAGAGTGTGCTAACTAGTGAGCAACTCCATTATTTCTTCGAGGAGTAAAGTTTCATTTCACATGAATCCCAGATAAACTCGCGTTGAGCTCAGCCAATCTCCAAATTTCCCCACACCAGCTACCCACTTCGGTTCGATCTTCCTCCTTCTTCTTCAGCTTTCGAATAAGCATTTGGCAGTCCGATTCCACGATAAGAGGGCTCAACCCTTTTCGATTTGCTTCCCTGAGACCCAAAACAATAGCTCTCGCCTCCGCTTCGATGCGTCTGCAAACTCCCTTTTCCTTCAAACCAGTAGCACCCCTGAAATCCCCCCTCCAATCCCGAAATATGCAACCCAGACCGAAACCCAAATGTTGCAGAATCCCCGCGTCGGAGTTAAGCTTGTAGAAGCCTTTAGGCGGCGGTACCCATCTCTCAGGCTCGGCAGCCCCGTTACTGTTAGGGTGAGGAAGGTTCATGGAGCTCTGCGCCTCCAGATAGGAGTTAAGCCACGCCATCGCCCGGGGAATGATCTCATCTTCTTCCAGCTTCGAATTGTTGTTCAGATGATTACACCGTTCCTTCCAAAGGTACCACAATGCAACGCAAAAACGTTGAATTTTTTCTTTGTCAAAGCTCTTCCATACCTCTTTCAACCATTCGAGACAAGATTTACCTTCTCCAATCTCATACAATTCTTTTTCTTCCCATTGTTGCCATCTATTTCTGATCCAGCTGCAATCACGAAGGGCATGAATCTGGTTTTCCGACAAGCCACAAAAAGGGCAATCCGAGCAAGCATCTTCGATCCATTCTGCAATATGACTCCCCACAGGTAAGATTCCCCTCACCACTTTCCATAGGAAGATACGCACTTTAGGAGGGACATTAGTTTTCCAAAAAAGCTTCCAGAACTCCATATCCTCGTTAGATGGCATGTAATGTCGAGTCTGGTGTTCAAGACGTTGCTCCCGAATTCTGTAATAGGCAGTTCGAACGGAGTACATTCCATTTTCAGAGTCCTTCCAAACCCTTTTATCTTTTTGGAGAGGAAAGTGGATTGGGATCCTGGATACCAGATCACAATCACCTTTAGACAACTTCTCCTGCAATCTGACCTGATCCCAACCGCATCTCTCATGATCAATAAGGTAGCTCACAAGCTCACTGTTGCTCACACCCCCAGGAATAGGATCAGCAAAGTAGAAGCTTTTTCATGGGATCCATTCATCCTCCCACATGCGAATTGATCCCAATAATTCAAAATTATTAGAATGAATCCATCCGAAAAGTCCTTTTTAAAACCTATCTCATACTGCATTGTTTTGCATGCCCGTACACTTTATTACTTTTCTCTAAATTGAGGTTTTTCTTTTTCTCTCTAACATGTTCCTCTCTTAATGAACACTGACTAAGCAGGCATCCAAATGCTAATGGCGGCCAAGTAAGTATACCCAAGCTCCTCACTTTTGTCGGCATAAAGCACACGATCGAGTACTATATATTTCTTTTCGAAAGAAACTATTTATTGTTCAAGTCTACTTTGTCAAAATAGCCTAGTTATATATAAAGAGACTGAAAACATGAAAAGTAGTGTTGAGTTTGGTTATTAGGGTTTTGGTTAGGCAGAAATTCTGTTAAAGTGGGTTGATTAGTGACATAGGTTGCTATTAGATGTTAGGGAACACTATCACGTCACAAGCGGCATTCCCTAGAAGCAAGATGAGGTTTTCTTACCGTTAAACCGACGGTGAGTAGCGAGCGACAACAAGCGGGCAAATGGAGTAGCGAGCAGTCGACGGTTGATGGATAAGTAGTTATTGTATTGAGGTTGTGACTTGTGGAAATTACGAAATCGTGATCTGTGAGTAGAAGAAAATAGGTTGGTGATCATTTGGGGCCGAAGAAGTCGTTTTAGGACTTGGGATGTGTAATAAACGCACGTGTTTGTTGGATTGGTGTAAACTATGATATATAGATACCAATGGATAAATAAATTAGATGTTAAAACATAAAACAAAATGACTAGTGGGTGTTAATAAATTCTAGTGAAAGGAAGGTAGTAGTTTGATAACCCCTCCCCATGACTTACCTTTTACTTCATTCGGAAACTTGATTTAGAATTTACCGTTCATAAAAGGCAGGAACAGCTTCAGCAACAAATTAAAAGGGCATGCTATATATTTATATTCCGTCAATGGGTGTGTGTAGAGCAGGAGCACCTGCTGCTAGCCCTTGAGAATAATTTTATCAAAAAAGATCATTCAGAAAGGTTAGGTGTATCTAAAGGGAAACAAAGCCTGCCCTGCCGCTGCCGGGATGGAAACGAAGCTCTCCAAAAAGAATAACATAGCGATCGATCTCTGACCGTTGAAGTAAAGGAAGGTCTCGTTTTTGTGGGCAGCAACGGAAAAATTCTTCGCCGGGAAAATTCCCACGTTTATAGCAAAACGGAAACGTTAAGGGCGCGCGATGCGATGGTCTCTCTCTATATAAGTTTAACACTACTCTTAACTAACTACTTGTCAATCCATCCACCAGCGTTTCGCTCTGCTCTTCCTCTCGATCAATATATAGTTCAAATTAAATCTGTCGATCACAATGTCGCCGGCGGCGTTCCCCAACCGATTCGCTCTGCTCTCCACACTCATCGCGTCCGTTCCGTTCTTCCAGCTGGGCTACGGTACTGCTACTACTCGATCTTCACTGACAAATTAAATTAGTGTAGTACTCAATTGCTTTATTATTGTCAAAAAGAATGACTAATTATATTTAACGACGATGAATTGGCTTTGCATGCATGCATGCATGCAGATTTGGTCGCCATTCCGCACGGACTTAAGTTGATCGACAAGACTATAGAAACGAAGGATTCAGAGCTCCGCGGGTTCGAGTCCCGGTACGGGCTGCTCATGCTGGTTGGCGCACTGCTCGCCGGCCTCCTCATCAACTACGGAGGCCGGAGGTGGCCTTTCGCTTTTGGAATCGTTGTGTACACAGTGGGGAGCGCCGTTGTCAGCTTCGGTTCGAGAATGGCCACGTACAGAGTCGGCCGGAGTTTTATGACCATCGGCACGGCAATTGGAGTAGTCATTGGGCCCATCTATATTGCTGAGGTGGCACCGGCCCGAGTTCGGGGATTCCTCGGCTCATTCCCTCAGGTAACGAAACTATATATTTAAGTTACTTAATTCAATGTCGTTGGAGTATTCAATTCAGAACAGTCAATTAATTATTTGGGATGTCAATTAATTAATTATGTCCTTTTACTTTATCTTTTGAGGGATCTACCAGAAAAAAGATAACCAATCAAAAAGGAGTACATAGGCAAAAAAAAAGTGAAAAGATGCGTACCTTCTTCTAAAAAGTAGAACGAGATTTTCCTTTTGTGACGGAGGCTTCTTTTAGTTACTAAATAACATATTATGGTCGATACCATAAAAAAAAAAAACATATTATGGTCGCCTGAGCCTTTACTGGTCAGTAATTTCCGTTTTCGACCTTGGTTAGAATTTTACCGTTTAGAAAACCATTTTCGGACCAAATGTTTTATTCGGTCACAAAAAAATATGTTTTACTGACGGAAACTAGACACAGAGAGAATGTTGCTCTGACCATATATCAGTTGTTCATTTGAAGTATGCCTAGATCGTAGGAAAAAATAGGTAATTGGGTACAGTTACAAACGGCAACCAATTTGGTAGCTAGTCATATTGTGGTTGTTAATGCAACCGAAATTTGTATTAACATATTATTTTTTTATTATAAATATTTACTGGGTAGCATTTTTATTATATGTAGATATATATTGAATATTTATGTTATATAAAAAGGGTAGGTTAGGAAAATAAAGGTTTGTGTCTGTCTTTGCTTTGTATAATGACTCTACCCAACTAACTAAACACTTTAAGAATTTGGTCGAGCAACTGTTGAAACATGGCAGCTGCCAACGGGCCAGACTCTTACTTGCTCCATATTGAGTAATCAATAGTGGAGGACTGTCGGCCCAACATCTCTATTCGTTGAATACGGCCCAATAGCATTGTGGCCCAACAACCTACAGGAAAATAAACCACATTATCAATAGCTCTTTTCCTTGGGTCATTAATTACTTGCTTAATTGAATGTTTGAGTAGTCACAAGTCACAACTCACAACTGCCAATTAATTGATAGGGATGTCAATTAATTAATTAATTAGGTCCTTTTACTTTACCTTTGGGGGATCCACCAGAAAGACAACCAACAAAAAAGGGGTACGTAGGAAAATAAGTAAAAGATGCGTACCTTTTTCTAAACAGTAGAATGAGATTTCCCTTTTTGTGACGGTGGAAGTTGGTTACTAGATATCATAAATGGTCGCCTAAGCCTTTACTGGCCAGTAATTTCCTTTTGCGACCTAGATTACATTTTACTGTTCGGAAAACCCTTGTCCGACCAAATGTTTATTCGGTCACAAAAAATAAGATTTAGTGGCGAAATTGCGGATGGACAGTTGGACACTGTCATTGAGTGAATGTTGCTCTGACGATATATGAATTGGTCATTTAAAGTCTGCCTTAATCATGAAAAAATTAGATAATTTATCACAGTTACAAATATTGTGGTTGTTAATTCAAAAGAAATTTGTATTAACAGAATAGTTTTCTATAAATAAATTACTGGGTAGCTAGCATTTTTAAAAAAATTATATATTTTGATAATTATATTATATAGAAGGGGTAGGTTTAGGTTCGGAAAAGACAGGGAGGGCTTGTATTTGTGCTTTGTATAAAGACTCTTTATACCCGGCCAGCTAAGTCTTTAAGAATTTGGTGCGATCGAGCAACTGTTGGAACATGCCAGCTGCCACCGGGCCAGACTTGTGCTTGGTCCATATTGAGTAATCGATAGTGGAGGAGCGTTAGCCCAATAGCTCTTTTCCTTGAATACAGCCCTATAGCTTTGTGGCCCAACAACTTAAAAGAAAAGAAAAGAAAAGAAACAACATTATCAACAGCTAATTAATTATGTAGCTAGCTAAGCTTTGTGTACCCAAAAATATATATATATATATATATATATATATATATATATATATATATATATATATATGTAGCTAGCTTTAAACACGTGTGCATATATGGTCACTAAAAGTACTTTATTTTTTATTTTTTGATGTCCATGAATGAAGCTTCTTTTTTGCGTCGGGAGGGTATGTGGTTACGCAGCCCAGTACGCGATCCGCCAGCACAGCCTCCACAATCGAGGGGGGCGGGTGATGACGGGGATCCCGTGCGTGGTGTCGTTGATCACCCTTGTCATCATGGGGGTTTCTCGATTCCGAGAATCACCGGCGTACTTGCCGATCGAGGGCCTGTTGGAGGAGTCGAGGTCCATAATGGAAGACGACATGGGCTGCCCCAGACAGGAGGCCGACGAAAGAATCGAGCAGCTGAAGAAGGTCGCCAACATCTCGCCCAACATCAACCACAACACCGACCATTACAACCGGAAGAAGGGAGGGATCGACGGGATGTGGTCCCGGCTTTTCAACGGCCCCACTCTCCTAATTCTCTTCCTTCTCCATATCCTCTACCAGCTGAGTGGAGAATTCCTAGTGTTGACCTACGCCAGGCCGATCCTGATAAGACTTGGTGGTCTCTACTCGGAAGAGTGGTACATCCGCGGAGCTGCGACGCTGACTGGAGCCAGGATAATGGGCTCGCTGGTGCTCATGCTCGCTGTCGACTGGCTGGGTCGAAGGAAGATGATGCTGACCAGCACAGTGATCACCATGCTGGCTGCCGTGGTGCTTGGAGTCGTGGGGATAGGTATATATATACATTCTTTTCTTTTCTTTTCTTTACTCTACAGTTACACCACCGGCCAGTTTGAACATTTATCCAAAAAGCTTTTGTGACCAGAATTATGGTCGCCAAAAAGTTGTTGGTGATTTCTTTTCTTCTTGTGACACTGACACACACAGGTAACCAACATGGGTGCATCAGCGACGGCGTGGCATTCCACTGGTTGGCTTGGGGCGCCGTCGCATTCGAAGCCGGACTGTCGGTGGGGTTCGGAGGGATCCTCTGGATGTACGGCCCGGAGTCCATCGGGCTGCCGTCCAGAGGTCTGGCGGTGACCGGAGCTGTTTTGTGTGGGCTGGTGGTGGGCAAGTTGATCAACGTGGGATCTCTGTCCATTTATGGACGAACGCTCCCCAGGGCCGGTGGAGCGATGTTGATCTCCGCCGGTTTCATGTTCGTCGCCGTCGTGCTTACCTTTCTCTTCATGAAGGACACTAGCAAGAAGCCTTTGAGAGATCACGAGCCCTCCTCGGAGTCCGCCTAAGTGCTGCATGGTTCGGTGCCGATTGATCGAGATTGGTACGGTGGTTCTAAGTACGTAGTAGGTCATGGAAAGTTCAATAATTTCATGTTTGTGTGTGATGTTTAATTTGTCGCTAGCTGCCACTTGTGTATGTGGCCGGCCTTCGAATCATAGTTTTATTCTCTTGTACTCTTTCTGGCCGGTGTAATATTGTCTCTTCCCTTATGATATAATAATTATCATTCATAAAATATATGACGAGGCTAGCTGCTATACATTTTATACCATTGCAACCCATCAATTTAAATTTTAAGCCATGGCATGCACTTGTAAGCTATAACTATGGGCATGGAATAATGGAGTAAATTTTAACATGTAATTTCAGTCTACACGTTCATAACTTGCTGGATTTGTGGAGGAATGGGGTCTTTCTTCCTCTGACTTGCTTGGAATAATACATTAACCACTTCCCCAAAGAAACGCAGACCCTGACGCTCCAAAATAGAAAATAAGCTTCACCATAATCATCTTGCAAACGGAGTTTCACTCTATACCTAGAGCCAATATGGAATCAAACTGAAAATGTCATCATTTTCATGTCTATTCCTTCAAGTCAACAAACGACATGGTTCCTATAACATTGAAACAACAAAATTGCAGTTTGCAAGAAAACATAATCAGGTTAGAAGCTTACTTGGCTTTTGCAATCGCACATGGTGTCTTGCAGTGTCCATAAAAGTACTCCACCATGTATTCTTCCACTTTGTGAAGGCATACAACTCATCCCATGTACCACCAGTTAGATAGTTCTCAGTCACTTGCCCTTCAACAGAAAATATCTTCTCCTAAATTGACAGCAAATAAAATATAATAGCATATAGAAGTGCTGAAATGCTGCTTGATTGTAAAGAAAAAAACCTAACAATCTGCTCTTCTATAATTTTGAATTCATGGAGTTGAACAATAGAACATCATATGCTATATAATAACAATGTCATTATGCAATAAACAAAGTATATTAGAGAAGCTGAATATAAAAACCTCATTCATAAAATAAGAGAAATTTTAAATTGAATGTTTATGCATGTATCGAAAAATTTAAAGGGTAAATACAATATATTAGCCACAACTATTAATCGTTATAGCCTGTTTTCCTTGTAGTGCATCTCAAGTTTCTCGATAATCCAATAGTGACGAACATGTGCATTGGAGGAGGATCTTAACAACGAATAGTTTGAACCAATTGTCTCGTTTTGAGATGATTGGACTAAACTGAATCGATTGTCAGCAAAAAATTTTGGTTGGATCAATTTTGAATTGATCCATTTTTAGTCAATTCCAATTGTTTGAGGTGTAGCAGGCAATTCGACTTGACTCGTTTGAATGGACTCATTTATAAAATGAGACAATTGACCAAATTGTGTCATTTTTAAATTGATCCATCCAAATGACCCCTAAATGAACTATGAACACCTAGGTTGTTTGGTATTTGCAATTGTGAATATTGATGTATTTAATGAATGCATGCATTATAAATGTATATATTGGAGTGTTATTAAAGCCGAGCCGAGCCGCTCGGCCCGATCGGTAAAACCCCCACCCGGTCATAAAACCGGCTCGGAACAGTCTAAAAGCCGCTCCGGTTTTATGTAGCGGTTGGCGAGCGGCCGCGGCGGTTAGCCGATCGGGCCGCTCGTCCGGTTTTGGCCATTCAGCCACTAAATTTAATTAAAAAAATTGCAGAAAATTGAAATAAACCAAAAACGTCGGGCTCTCAAACTGAATCCTTATTTTCATTTCACAATTTCTAAGGATAGAGATGAGATGTGATTAAGAATGTCCATTATTTATATTGATAATGTTTGTTAGGTACCGGTTCTCTAACGGTTTTTAAACGGTCTAATGTCGGTTAGACCACTAAAATGCGAGCCGTTCTCATTACAGGGTCATGCTCCGGTTCGGTTCTGACAACATTGATATATTGTTTAAATGAGTTCATTTTAATATTACGACGTTTGGTTATTGTGATTGTGATTTTATAAAATAAGCATATTTGCCAATATCTTGAGTTGGAGAGAGAATGAAAATTGAAAAGTTTGAGGTAGAATGAAAACCGGTCGCTTTGTTTAAAACATCATATATTATTGGATTTAATTAGTTGTCGATGCCATGCTAGGGCCATCATGCAGGTACGGAGCCATTTTGATTTGATTTTCCGGAACTAAGTAGAGACATTCCTTTTTTCCTCCCCTTAGCTTTCATAAAAGACCTCCCCATTTTTAGCAACAAATTATTAACTAATTGGTGGGCTGGTCGTCTTTGCATCTTCTATTTGGGATTAATTAAAATGCCGATTCTACAATTATTTCAGTGATGCACCAAAAGTTCTTAATGACCAATTGCTACAATTGAATTATTGTGTATTTTGCGGTAAAAGAAACACACAAAAATTGTCTTATGGGATATGGCTCTTAAAATTCCAATCTTTTGGCCTATATATATTCTTCTATTTCAATAATATCAAGGAATTGCATTGGAAAAGACAGGGAGACATATTTACATTAAGAAAACTGGAATTCAATGATAGAGGAACGAAAAGGGCAAATCACTTATCCTTTAGGCATCTTATTTCTCTCTTCCAACTCCCTAAAACGAAAAAGGGATAGATTGACCAACCCGACTAGCTAAAGATTGATGACGAGGAGTGAATGTGGCTCTTCTTCTACTACACTACTACTACTACTACTACAACAAGTGGTCATAACAAACCCACGTACCAATATTGTCCACTAATTTCATTCCTAAAACAGAGAGAAGCTTTCTGAAAGAAAGGGTGGAAGAAGGAAGCTTTGTTGCTTCAGGAAACGCGCACATATATATGCGTGGTGATAGTGCATGAAAGGATGGCTAGCCAGTCACCAAATAGTTAATTAGTTTGTAGAGCACATCTTTTGCGTAATCAACCTAGCTAGCTGTCATCAAGGGCGAAGAATTACAGTACTGATCATGCATGGGTAGCTATATATATATATATATTACTGTTGTTCTTGATCATCAACTAGCTAGCAGTACTAGCTGCTGGAGGATCCACCATGCACCGCATCAAGCAGAACTTGTTGGCTCCTATCCTTGATAAACAAGCAACTCAAGGCACCAAAAAACATGAAAGAACTGAACACGAGCAGCGGCGTGCCCGCCGCAGTGATGGATTCGTGAGAGATGGGGATCACCTTTAGGTCAAGTAACCAGTCCACTCCCAAACCGGCCGCTACCGCTACGGTCACTCCAATCACTACAAAAACAAACGACTTACAGCAAGGTTTTTTTTTTGACATTTAGCGACGGAAAAAACGGTCGCTAACTATTCCGCCACCGGTTTTTGTTCCACCGGTTTTTGTGAGTCAATTATCAATTTTATTATCTTAATATTGAAAAATTATTGGTAATATTGATTAAAAAAAGTAGGTCCTCAAGAACTATAAAGTAAAATATATAGCCTAAGAAGGGTTTCAATGTTATGCAGTCAAGTCAACTTTTTTTCGTTGAATATCAAGCCTTAGAGATAGAGACAAAAGGTTGTAAAATCGCACAACAAGATAAATCATTTATTAATGCATAATAATCATATCATTATTATAATCTTCTCCATCTGATCATCACGAAAATTACAATGCAATAAGAAAATCAGTAATCAATTAATCGACTTGGCGGCGTCGACTCCATGAGGGTCTGCGCTTGGAGGAGTGCATTTGTCGACGCACTTCTCGATGCACCAACTCCTCGACGAGGATTTGCATTGGGCGTAGCAATCATCGTAGCACTTCTGATCAAAGGCAGGATGAACATCGTTGTTACCAGTAACGTGATTGCCATCCAAAAAGACTTGTCGTCCTCCTCCTTCCACCATCATCATCATCCCTAGAGTAACCATCACCATCATCAACATCAAACCCTTTCTGCCGCTCTCCATTTCTTCCAACGTAACCCTAAGATCAAAAGGTAGAGTGGAACAAGAAAAACCTCTTTTTTTTTTTTTTCACTCACTGATTTATCCTTCTAGGCTAGCTAGCTCTCTTGCTTGTTCTAGGAAGAGAGTCATCTTTTCTTTTATATAGACGGCCATGGTTGGACACATTAGGGAAGTCATGAACATGGGAGCGGGTGGGTTAGTATAGATTTGTATAAAGAATGGGAAACCAAATATTTATGAATGGTATAAAAGAATGAACGTACTAATGAAGGAAATAACCTTCCTTAGCTTAATTACTCATTGTGATTTGTTTTCCCATTTGATGATGCAGGTACGTTATGTTAGGTAGAGTAAGAGGAGGGGTCGGATACTATGCTAACCCCTAAAGGGGTAGTGGTTTTTGACACCCTCCTCTTGATTGGTCACTTTTCCATTTAAGCTTTTTACTTTATTTATTGTAATCTTGTAAATTGGGAAAGCCTTAATTGTGATAATAATTATGAATGGGGAAGGAGAAAAACGTTGGTAATTATGAATGAGGAAGGATCTGGGGAAAAACGAAATCACCCCCATTAATTACATAATTAATTTCTCTCACTGGTACATTAATTACACGTACCACTCCACTGGTACACGTACCACTCCACTGGTACACGTACCACTCCACTGGTACATGTACCAGTGGAGTGGTACGTGTACCAGTGGAGTGGTACGTGTAACCATATGTCCTGTTTAGGCTTAAAAAATTGTGAAGACTTTATGTTTATTCACATTCGAAGGATAAATTATTGCTTTTGGCATTGTTGTTGGCATTTCCCTAATTTTGCAACCCATTTTGGAACACAGTTTTTGGCTACTAATGGAAAGTTCCTATTTTTTCCCTATTATTGTTTATCATTGTTATGAAAAATATAATTGCACTGGTATTGTTCTCACTCTAACCTACCTTGTGGATTGCTCGCACCAGTGGAGTGGTACGTGTACCATTGGAGTGGTACGTGTACCAGTGGAGTGGTACGTGTACCAGTGGAGTGGTACGTGTAATTAATGTACCAGTGAGAGAAATTAATTATGTAATTAATGGGGGTGATTTCGTTTTTCCCCAGATTCTTTCTCTTTTCCAATGTGGTGAGAGACCCCAAATTACAAGATTAAAAAAAATAAAAAATCAGTTTAATTAATACTTGCCAATGATTGGAAATAAAATTGGCCAATCATAAAGGGGGTGTCAAAAATCACTACCCCTTTAGGGG